AAAAAAATAAATTCAAAAAAAAATTGCAAAAGGCGCAAAGACTTTTCCGACAACCTAATACTTGCTTTTTAATTTTAATGGTCAACATCGAGTATGGCAGCCAGTATTGCGGCCAGCACCTCGCCGATGTTATCGACTGGAAAAGCGGATATTTCCCACTGCCTCCTGCTAAGGTTCGATAATTTTGACTCCAATGATAACCCTACTGGACCCGGCGACCAAACGCATAAATTATGATGCAGTTGTACAGTGTTCCCGCATCTATGGTCAACTTTTAAGCAATACTTAGAGAAAATCCTTCCTGACAGCACAACAAAACGATTTCGTACCTCTGCAAGGTAGAAAAACGTCAGTAGTTTGGAGTCATTTGAAGACGTTGAGGGTACTGTGAGTACAAAGGCGATTGGAGGCCGCAGAATTTTTTCCATAAAACTCCCCATCATATTCCTTTGCTTCTTTATTTTCCGGTCCAATAGTGCCGTCATTATGGAATCCTCCTGAAATTATCAATTTTTCAGGCTTCCGAAAAGTCGTTGTCGACGGACAGCTATTTTCAGTAACTCGAAAGTAATCGCCACACAAAACATAGCGGTAACAAAAATAAGTAACCGTATCAGTAAAACCGGCAGAAACCTAACATTTTCATCTAACAGCATAGTGAATAAATAAATAAACATGGAACCCATGGCTAACCGCCGAGCCATTCGCACACTCAATAAGGAGCGATTGGGGTGGACAGAGTGGAGGAAAGTGGATGATGCGGGGTCCATCGAATTATTGTGATCAATGTTAATGGTCTGTCCATTTGAGGTATTCGTTGCTAGTTACACTTACAGTTCGCTCACCCTGCCCTGAGGTGAACTATAAAAGAGTTGAATTTGTTTGAGTCCATCTTTACTATCATATTAACCCTTAAAGTAAAACAACCGAGGAACTTCTAGCGTAAGAAAAGAGGCAAACTTAAACGACGTGATCAAAATTGGGCGAGACCGGTACTCCACTGTTCTCAGGAAGCGTGAGCCAGAGTCCACAAGAACAGACACACATAAAAATATCAATATAAGATTCGGTGAACACCCACAATACACAAACCGAACCCACACCCAGACCCATACACTCAGGCACAAACGAGCACATTTACAGACAATACCACACCGAAACATATTCATCATGGCATACGCAGACTTATATAGAACAAATTTCCTTAAACAGTAAGTTATAAACCGCAATGGAACGAATCGGATAAAGAATGAATTCATGACACCCATGTATGAGTTTATTATGAAAATCCTCTAGGGCCAACTAAGCTGCCATTCCTCGGTAGATCGGTTACTTGTACCGACTCGTCTGGGAGAACAGAAGTACTGACTTGTATTTCGGCTGACCACCAGAAGTCATAGTATGGGCCACATGCACATTCAAACACCATTATTATTCTGAATGGAAGTTCAACACACGGCACATCTCACAAGCGCGATTGATTGGTACAAAGAAACTCTGTCTTCATAATATGCGAGGTCAGATTCTTTCGTGGTTAAGTGAAAGGAATAGCATATTATCTGAATCCCTTACAACGAATAGAATATCAAAACTCTTCAACCTCGAGTCTTTGTAAGTCTAGCCTCAATCAAGGAACCACCAGTTATTGTGCTAATTTTATATATTTTTTATTCCATGTTATTTGCAACATATCAACGCATTTTCAATGCTGTCAGTGCGAACGCTGTGAATTGGAGTTTCCCATCGCTCACTTCATATTCGACCGATGAGATCGAAGAATTCCTCAATGGGACCTCGGTAATATTTAATCATCCGTATCACATTTCTCTTTGGCCCATCGCTGATACTTTCGACTTGCCTAGGAATGCTATTGTGGCCGTTCTTCGTCCTAAGTCAAACAGGTAGTTCCCTTTATACTTAAAGTAAGTGCTTTCAAGTTTTCCTGAAAAGTGGGTTCATCCAAATGCTCTGAGCTAGATTACATAAAAAGGTTATCGAACATATGTAAGTGCAGTCTTAAGGAGCTCGCGAGCAAACGTAAGGTGCGGTATAACCTGAGGTGGGCATGGGGTTCGCTGCCTTGTCAAATCGGTAACTCATTGGCCGACTTTTCTGACAGAGGATTCATGTGGTTCTGTGGCGCTGGCATAACTTGTTGCTCAATTGGTAAACGCAACTAGGGGAACTGCTTGGGAGGTCTATTTTCAGGACTGGGAGCTAAATCCCAGGTTTCATTGTTGATACGCCATCTACTGGATAGTGGTTACAACGCCAGTGATCGCCCAGTGTTCAATGAGAACGAAACAGTGAATATCACGATCAGTGCNGCAGAATTCATACTCGAATGGAAGGATGCTTTTCTTAAATGGAATCCGATGGAGCATGGTGGACAGACAAGGGTGAAAATCAAAGAAATAGAAGTTTGGCGGCCAGATGTAACCGTCTCAAGCAGGTACTCTCTCATACTCTCAGAACCGACTTCGTTAATCCTTCGTGTTATTATAGTATAGCGAAGGAGGTGCTTCTGGAAGCCAGCGAGCGTTATTTGGACGTTTTCTATGATGGTACTGTAAGAATGAGTGTTTATGCAGTCTATAGGAATCTCTGCAACATGAAGGTCCGTACGTTTTTCAGTCCATTATGGTATGAGTCGTAACGATCCTCATCATTTCAGAATACTGAAAAAAAATAAGAAAAAGAAATGATATAGGAAAATCGCTGCGACAGTGAGCTCAGCTAGCGACTACGGCTGCTCCGACATGACAAGGGGCATTCCCAGAGCGATTTCAGTTGTCCCCAAGAGGCAGAAGGCATTCTCAGAGCGATTTCAGTTGTCCCCACATGGCAGGTAGTATTCCCCGAGCGATTTCTGTTGTCCCACATGGCCACATGCACATGGACCGATTATCGACTACTTTCAACATGAGCTTGATCAGCAATGAAACTTCAATGCTATTTGCCACAATGGAGAACTGGCTCACATTGACTGGCGGAGAACACCTATCCCAAACTTCTATGTCTTTCAACTTTTCCATTTCTATCCTCCCATGGCACACTTAGGAAATTGTTATGTCTCCATCCGCATTTTGTTTTCTAAGCTGAACACGATATACTTTCAGGTTGATAACTTCCCGTACGACTCCCAGATATGTATGATCGATATTGGTCCGTGGTCGTATACTGACGAAGAGGTACACTCCATTCCAGGAGAAAGCATTGAAGCGGCACGTGATGGATTCGAGGTACTCCCCTTTAATTCACGTTTGTATTCAAATCTCTCCATCTTGATCTGCTCTATTATATGCTATATTCAAATAGCAACAACTACGAATATCCCTTGCTAGGGCAACAGTGAATGGGATTTCGTATCGCTCACCGCATCCGAGAAGTACTCCACTGATAGCGACGCCAACTTCCACTTCACTGAAGCCAGATTTCAGGTCACTGATTTTTTTAGAAACGTTTTTTCGGAAGTGAAGTTCCATGAAGCATCTGGACTCGTTTCTAATCGCCTTTGTCTTCTAGACACGGTCAAATTATGAAGGGAATCAGATCGCTACAATAAGCCTCAGAAGCGACCAAATTCCGCAAAAAAAAAGGGAACCTCGTCACCATCCACCCGTAATGGCAGCGCCTTAGGGAGTTTTCTCTAGGAAACAAGTTACCAGAGAAGCAGTTGGCTTTCAGCCTCCTCCAAACATTCCATAGAGCGCGCTTCATCCAAGGATATCTGCATTATCCTCGAGACTGCGACGTTCTCGAAGCTAGGGTTTTTCCCGGACGGTAAAGCCAGCCTATGAGTTTTACTTAAAGAAAAAAACCGAATTTTTCAATAAATAAGATAAACGATCTGGTCTATTCTAAGAAGGATACACGTCTATTCAGCTCTACGTGTCACGTCGTCCTCAATTCTACGTATGGGTGTTACTGATTCCGACATTTGTCATAACTACCGTATCCATTTGTGGTTTGTTCATACCGACTAATTCATTGGGAGATCGGGAAGAGAAGGTAAGTAATACTTCTCTCCGCTCTCCATTCCACTAAATAAATAGTGTGAACTCAGGTGAACCTCGGTCTGACTACGTTGCTCTCGTCTGCAGTCATTCTGGAAATCGTTGCTAATTCGATGCCCAAAGCATCCGCATTTCCCCTCCTTGGTAATGATTCCTGGTGCCTTTCGAAGATATCGAAAGCCTCTATTCAATGAATTCTTTAGGGAACTTCATTTTGGCAGAGATATTCGTCGTAGCTGCAGGAGTACTTTGTTCCGTAGTGACGTTGACATTGCATCATAGAGCCAATACACGTCGATGGAGACCCAAGCCATGGATGCTGAGGATCCTTGGAATGACGGTAATCCTTTAGTTCTTTGAAAATACGTACTTACTTTTACTGGCAACGATCAGATTCCATGCAATCTATGAAGATGTGAAATTACTATGTCGTTAGGATTTCGTACATATGTATGTTTCCAAAAAGCTGCATCTGGACTACAGCGAGTTCATCGGTCAAAGTTCTCTGATATGGTTTGACCAGTGACTACCGTCTAAGAGGCAGCGGTCTCATTGTCATTTCGCTTACCCTTCCACCCAAATCCCTATTAGACTAGATAAGGTATAGCCTTTGACTGTTGAACGGTGATGAACGCGAAGTCCCCTCTGAATTCTCTGAAGAATTTTGACACCATACTTCACCGCCTTGGACCTATTTGATCCTTCACAGTAACTACCAGAGATGGCGCTACAAATTTACTCAATAGGCAGAAAACGCATTCAACTTTCTCGAAGGTACTCGAAGTTAAATGTCACTTAGGCTGCCAAGTATTCCGACCACACCAAATGATGATAAATGAAAATAATGAGTGGCACCCTATTAAATAGCCCTACCACATTTTATCGCAAAAAGACAACTTTTCCTTGAGACAAGTCCGAACACAAATGTACTGGGAATCGCTTACTCTGTAGCCGTTGGCTTCAGAATCCTAGGTGTAACGAGATGCCGGTTTAGGAGCAACAGCAGAGCCGAGTGTAGGCTATTATAGGAGTACGCATGAAGTCCAAACTGAAAGATTTCTTTTATTAGATTACTTTTTTACATAATTTCCGAGTATTTCCTATCAAGTTGATCTAGGCCGAGTAAGAGCGTATAGACTTCATAGGAACTAATAAATCAAACGAATAATTTGAATTAGTTTAAAGATTCTACGCAATTGCAGAAAATCAGAAACGTTCCTCCCTGGAAACAAAAAATAAATAAAAATACGCTCTCAATTAGCAGAGCAATTCAAAAAACATAATCATTTTTTGATATTGCAGGGTTCCAACAAATTCATTGTAAAGAAATGTGACAGAATGAAAAGGACTAAAACGGGAGCTCTGAGCAATGAAGTGGATAAGTGAGTACCAGCAGAGTCCATTCCGTCTATTAACTACCTTTCCATTCACTTCATTCAGTTCTATACGATTTTATCGTAAACATTCTGTCTAGTCCAATGCCAAACCCCTAACGCATTCGATTTCAGTGCCCCTTGGATGACCGATTTCATGTCATCGCTTCGATCACTTCTCGACTATATCCACGAAGAAGAAGTCGACCAGCTGAGGGAGATCGCATGGCTGAAACTGTTCGATCGGCTCGATTTTCTACTTTTGATCGTATTTCTCATCATTAACTGCATTGTCACTGCTACTATCTGTTCTCCTTAAAATCCTACCACCAATTACTTAGCCCTCCAGACCGTCTCCTCGCTACCGTACACCGTCGTTACAATCTTTTGTTCCATATTAGTACGGAACTGAGTTATACTACGCCTCTTTACTTTGTAAAAGTTTCCTTACGAACAGAACGGAGAACAGATTGAAAAGAAATGAGTCAGAGACGATGAAACATGTGGGCTAGTGGGAATCAGGAGGATGAGCATGATGAGAAGTAAACTGCGAGAG